ATAGTTCTTTGTCTATTCGGAAAATGACCGTCTTATCAGGCGTCTCATCATAAAAAGGATTGTTTTCTTTAAAATGAGAAAATGGTTTGGGGGGATTAAAGAGAGGGTCGTCTTTATCAAGTGTAAGGTTATTTGCATATATGTATGTATCTCGTATTTTGTGAATGTTTATAAGCTGTACAGAGGGTTTTGTCTTTGGCGATTCTTCAATGGAGCAATTCACTTGAACTGCAGACTTGCGCGCAAAACGCAAACCACTTTGATCGAACAGTAAACCGTGGCCTAACTTGAAATTCTCAATTATGTTGTTCGGAGCGGTAGCCATTTCCGTGAAGAAAGGATTGTGGCGATCAGAAAATGCAGGCCTGATAACGATAATGGCCTGCCTCCAGATGAAGCAAAGATCTGCAAAATACAATAAGCAATAGTTGAAGACCATTTTTGTACGGATTAAGATAAACTTTTCCCAACTGTTCACGTTCGGAAGTGCCAACAGCGACGAATTAGATACGTCGACGACGCTAGACAAAATCCGGGGGTGCTCTCTCAATGAGGTAATGGCGAATCCATCATGAATGTTGATATGTACTTTTCTAACAACAGAGGCTCAAATATTATACGGAGGAGTAATGAATCAGGTAGTTATCTCTACGAGATACTCTGTGACAACAATAATCTCTGCATTTGGCGAAGTGAGAATTAATCTATCTTGCTTCCTAATTGTCCACATTTAGAAGTACCAAAAGAAACAAGATTAGATACATCAACGACGCGACGTTAGACAAATTCCGGAAGGTGCTCTCTCAGTGCGGCAATGACGAATCCATCATGAAGGTTGATATGAAGCAATACGTTGTTTAGCTAAAGAGAAAAATTAGACTGTGGCATTCGATGGACTGAAAGTGGACCTAAACAATCTGATAACAAAACATTCAAGTTTGACAGATATGAATTTGGAACAAACCGCCCTGAATATACAAGCACATAACAAGAACAACCATTTTAAACTTTGTGATGAAAGTGGCATTGAATGGAAACTTGATTTGAACATGTCATGGTAAGATTTTCTTTTGATCGATAGCTTAATGTACAAGCGTAATAATAATAAGGATTATGTCGGCTCAATTGGCGCACACTTTACACAGGAAAGACCAAATGAACTTATTGAAGAACATAGATCATTTTAAATACTCGAAAAAAATATAGTCGAGCGACGTTACTGATGAAAAGCGAGCATATAACACTTTCCGATGAATAGAGATGATTTAGAGCGAGCCTTGAAGTTAAGCAGCAGATGCGTGATGCACTACATGAAGTTTGCGAGAAACATGGGCATTTTGGGCGAGAACGGCACAACTGGGAGGGTTGATTATAAAAACTGGGCATAAAGGAAGTCATGTTTCGATTAACTGGTGAAAGAATCGTTATTAATGTCACATTGAAAACAATGCCAATAGAAATACTGTAGATGGTGGAATAAAACGTTGAATCAAAATTTATTTAGCAATTCGGACAATAGATGTATAAAAACAAATCTTTTACTTTGTGATTAAATTTTTTCTGACTTTATCTTTTAAAATACTTAGTGAATGTAACAATATGTAATATGATGACGACAGAGTAATAGTGAAGACAATGTAATAAACGTTACGTCATATGCTTATGTCATAGTTAGCAGATATATAGACATTATTATACATACTGTATATACGTAATATATTATATGGCAATTATGTAGTCATTATTAGTATATACGATATATCGTCACAGTCATATCAGATATGTTATGTAGTCATTATACAACGATAAACCGAACCCCGATAAACCGAAAACCCCGTTTGACCGAACTTTTCTTGAAATCCGCATTTTACCCCGATAAACCGAAATTACTATTAAACCTCCATAAACCGTAAACCGGAGATTTTCTGAAACAAACATATCAATATCAAAATTTCCCCCGATAATCCGAATAAAATGACGTAACAATTTATTTAAGCCAATAATATCATCCACCTTTGTAAACCCCCGATAAACCGCATATTTTGGCCAATTATATTTGCTATAGAATTCGCCTTTGTGAATTCAATCGAAAACGTGGCACCTAAAAGAAAACATACAGCGATTAAGCTAGAAAATTGAAATTTGCAATATAAAGTCTACAAATTCAACAATAAAAAACGTCGAGCTAGCGTCATAAGCGAATAAAGACTAATGTTTACGATATATAATATCTGACAGTTCGAGCTCGGTTTATAGAGCAACCCCGCTAATCCGAAGAAAAATTGCTGCACCGCCATCTTCGGTTTATCAGGGTTGACCTTGTATATACGATACTCGTCATAGTCATATCAGATATTGTTATGAAATTATGAAGTATAAAAGAACATTATTTTGTTTAATAATAAAACAGACTTTCGAGACTTTAATTGACTTTTAGTTAATAAATGTTAAGTCGCCCACGGAACTTCGAAATTACTAACATTATTTTGAAGCCGTTTACAGTGAATGGCTCAACTGCAAGATTACTTTACCTGGAAAATAGTAAGTCATAGAGATGCAGTCCCAATATTTGAAATTTTTGAAGAAAGTACGCGAACTGTTATTCTATAAGCACTTGGACCACGAATTTGTTACTACTGTGCTATGGGATTGATGAATTGGAATTTCTGAAAGAAAATTTATGTGTGCGTCCAATTAAACGTGTGGGAGAAATTAGACAGCAATGAAATTTTTGCAGAAGTCACGTGTGAAGGCAACAGTAATACAATATATGCATTTGCCCAGAAAAAAGTTACAGGTTAAAATTAGCCTAATTATTACAGAATGTCCACAATCATTCAACTCACAAACAACTAATGAATTATCTATTGAGGTTAATGTTGTCAAAGAAGAAAAAAAAGACGACAAGTTTATTGCATTGTTACCGAGCATTCCAAATATTCAAGGTTCTATTCAAGGAGCTGTTTTGACTGCTTGCTATATAACGCAGCAGACGATGCAGCAAATGCAACAAATTGGATCTAAAATTCGAAAAGATTGTATGATGTTTGCAACGCATCTTCACAAGAATGATACTATTTCTAATACCAATATTACTGACGTATGCATTTCTGGTAAGTATATTGTCGGCTACTATTGTATCATATATTTACTTATTACTTATGTAATGATGTGTTATTATTATAAACAGCCTAAAGTCGTGCGTACTGATGGTTCTTATAAAAACTAAAAACTATCCAATTTGAGTTAATTTTTTTTTACTAGTATCATTACGGTATTGCTAATGAAATTAATCTTGAATTACTTAAGACGAAAAAATTAGAAATTATTCCCATAGAATCGGATGTTTGTAGAAATTTGGTTAGGCAATTACAAGTATAGTATCCCTCACAACAATGTGTGCTTGTATTTAGGTTACCTACTGATAAGCACATACTCTGCTGTTCTGAGCAAGATTATAGTAACTTAAAGGGAAGCGTTGTTTGTTTCTGTCATGATATTGATAATATTGAATTGTTTTTATTCCTACTGTTTAAATTAAATTTATTTATTCGCCGAACATATTCACTTTACAATTTTACAGTTCGATGGCTTTACTTGTGAATAGTAACAGCTCTTTAAATGACAATTATTTATTCTGCCTAATGTCCATATTGCATATAGTGAAACGCGATTAAATAAATAAATTATCCAACCTTTTTTTTTTCATTTTACAGTAAAACGGTTGTAACGAAGATAGGTTATTAATGAATGCCTGTTATAAAAGTAATATCTTCAATCAATCATTTTACGTATTTGACTGACTATATAGTAATAGCGAATTCATTTTAAGAAATCTGGTTATAACGCTATAACGAAGATTTGTCAGAACAAAATACAATGTATTAGGTTACAGTCAACACAGTTATTATTATCCAACACTTTTAATGTCGCGCAGTGTATTATCATATATAGGATAATTTTCCAGAAAATATCTTCTGTTTGAACGTAGTACTGTATATCGCTTGGTAAGCGGTCTCGTTTGCGAGCGCCAAATGTCTAATTGAAAAGTTGAACTTAACAATAGTACTCATTCACGTAAATTTACTTTCTATAAAAAGTGCTTTATTCTCGGACATAATGTATTAATGTACAGACACACGCTTATGTATTAGTAGTATAGCGGTAGAATACTTGCCGTCCAAGCAAGCTACCGTAATTCAACTTACAGTATGTTAAGTTGCCAAATGTGGCGTTATTTACCAAACTGTGCCGATCGTTTTACATCAGACCATAAATCACGTATCATGTTTCAAATTGCTTTGTACAATATGTTAACATTAATCATAATATATTCGATTGAACGACTAAATATGATATCAATCAACGAACAAATTTAACTGTCATGTTATAGTTATTTTGCACTGACATAAGTATTTAAGGAGGCCATATTCGCGTAGTTATCACAGTAAGTTTTGTCTTCCAATAAATGTTATATTTTATACCATGCCTCTAAAAAATAATATCGCTTTATCTGATGCCCCAAAATATGAGCTTTGCCTGTATGTTTGTGATAATGAGAAGACTCGAACGAATAGTTGACTGGGTTGAAAGCAGATGGAAAATCAGAATCAATAAATTTACCATAATACAAATTTTTCAAAAAAAGATGTATTACTACGTAATAAAATCACGACTCCAGGTGCAAAGACACAAATCTAGAAATTGGGCAAGCTTTGAAAATCAACATTACAACCTCGCTCGGCAAGTTTTCTTGAATTTCTCTGAAGCAGACCAATGGGTCCAAAGCCCATAAATACTGCATATTAATCTTATCTCTAAAAGGCGGTTATACCAGTAGCATAACGATGCCGAAAGATATACTGTACATACAGTATAATTCCTGCGTAAACTTGCAGGTATGGTGCAATAAAAGATAAAAACCACAAATGTTGCGTAAAATAAAAGCATTATATTATTATGTTAAGTAGTTGTTGTAGCTGTTCTAGTCATTGCAGCTTGCAAGACTCAAAATTACCATCGTTCTTCTTTTCGCCAAAATCTTACAATAATAGCGATGTTTCGCTTTCCAATAATATTAAACGAGACACTCAAGATTAGAGCTAGGATAATATAAAGTAAAATATAAAAAATTTTTTTAAACAAAGGAGGTCTGTTACTATTCTTCTAACTTAATAAATTGTGACAAGAAATTTAAACTTTGCTCGGAAAATATTAGCTAAACAAAGCTAAATTAGTTTTCTTTATTAAATCATTCAACTTTGTGTTCCACTACTACATTCAAATTTGTATTTCCAACCTATTTTTCATACACTATTGCTGGATTTTTACAGAATACTGCCAAAATAGTGAGTGAAGCGGTTCATACAAAGCTGTATTAGTCGATACTCCTCGTAGGTTTCGATGCTGCTGAAAAGCCTGATTGTATTTTTAAAGATCTCGGTTGACTTACCAATTACGAGCGAAGCACCATGTAATGTGTACAAATTAATTTACAGAGGCGTTGGGACGAAACTTTCAACTTCGAACTATTGTTCTCATGCAGAAGCATCATTTATACGTTGCACAAAAAAAACGTATTAATATTGAGTTGAGATTAATATTACTTATCGCACAAAGTCTGTATATAATTAGGCAAATTTACCAACTATACAGTATCCCTCAGCTTCATAAAAAACATGCTAGCAAGAACAACGTCGTGTTAAACCGATTCGATAAACATTGCGAATTATTTCTAGTCATACTGATAACTCAGCATATATTAGCATTCTAGCAGTATTTGCTTGTAACTGATAGAAAAAATAACAAATAAACTTGCGTATGGGTCTCCTACGTTATCGACTGATAACGTTTGGAAAAAGCTTCAAAAAAAAGTAAATTTGAATTTAGGAACAGTATGAGCAAAACATCATACTTGTGCCGCCGTAAACTGAGAACGGATGCGATAGGCGAAGACTTACTGTTGATAATTGAGGAGAGCAAGCAGGTGGATGTTGAAAGTTTTAAATCTGATGTTAAGAGAGAGGAGGTCTGAATAATAATTACTCGGACAAAATAATCCGGATATCTGTGTTGCACAAGAATGCGATAAGGATGTGATCACTACCTCTAGCTTTTTATTCTCACTCCGTTTTAGGCAGGAACGCCAATTTTTCCTTATTCAACTAGATCAGAGTTATATGGGGGCTTCGCCCCTGTTGTTATCAGTTGACATCAATTATATGTATTTAGCATTATAT